GGGGGGGGTGCCCTTTGTCTTTAAAAACATTTTTTGTCCGTCGTTGTGATTACCAAAGCATTACATGTGCTTCATGGAACACTGTGTAGAGATAAACAGACAACAGCCAGTTAAAGACCCCTCGAAGCTGAGCTCCCTGAAGGCGACCTGGAATCTGTGAGATTGTTCTCCAGACTTTTCCTTTATGTTACTGCTTTTTCAGAGGGGGCTGAGACTACCCCAGCTTTCTTGCCATCTGGGGCAGAGATCCACACCCTGCCCCACTCTGTTGGGGACTCCTGTGTTGCCTCGATTGTAAACTCAGTGTCCAAGGCATCACCTGGCTTATCCTAAAGGACGCCTGTCTCCGTGGGCGGCCCCCCAGGGATGGGCTTGGAGCTGTCCCAGCAGAGGGCCTGGTCAAGCCCCGGTGAGGCCGCACCTGCTTCTCTGTTTCTGCCTGCTTCTAGCCTCTTCCCCCTGCCCTCCCCTCCCCTCCAACTCCCCCTACCTCCCTCTTCGCCTCTCCCCTCCTCTCTTGGTTTCTCTTGGCACCAGAGGAAAGCCACGGGTACAGCTCAGCCAGCAGCCAAGCTTGATGCCAAACGTTCCCTGCGCTGCACCTAAAACGCTTGACATTTTTGTGTGCCCTGATCTAAAACACGGATTTCACAGGCAGGGTGTCATGGTTTGAACCCTGAGCTAGACCCTGCAGACTCTGAAAGTTAACTTGCTTCTTTCAAGTTAACAAGGGGGGTTACAGTACCTACCTGGGAAATAAATACTGATGGGGCTTCAAGGAGCTAAAGCAGGGGAGGAGTTTGGCAGAGAGCCTGGTGCCGTCAGGCTGGTGGCTGTCATCAATGTCACGGGGTCCATCTCGGGGATGCCTTGACACTGCTCTCCTTCTCCAAGCTGAGAGAGTCTGGAGGAGTGACCCCAGATCCCCTCAAGTTATCCTGGATCCCAGAAGTCAAATGCTTTTGAAGGTGGAATTTGGCCGAGAGCCCCAGGCTGGGGGTTGGGAGGCTGGATAGGATGGGGTGAGCAGCTCCCACATCCCCAGGGAAAAACCCAGAGCTGGAGGACCTTGGGGATCCTGGCTGTCCCCACCCTCTGGCTGAGTGACCTCAGCTGACCCTCTGCATGTCTGCTTCTTGAGGAGGTGGTCTCTGAGGTCTGTCCCATCATGGGGTCGGGAATGGGGGAGGGAAGCCCGGGACTGAGCTGGGGACGCTGGGTCCAGAGCAGAGGCAAGGACCACGTCTCTCTATGTCTCTATCTACCTACTTTCCTGTATCTGTGTGTGTGTGTGTGTGTGTGTGTGTGTNTGTGTGTGTGTGTGTGTGTGTGTGTGTGTTTTCCCTTCCAATCAAAACAAAACAGCACTTGAAAGGATTTGCACGGAAGAGCCTGCTCTGCCTCTCCCACTCCCGTCCCACTCTGTCAGAGGCAGCCACACACCTGTTTCTGGTGTTCTTTCCCTGGGGCCACTTCCTGTGTCAGGGGAATTCTTGGCCAGAGCGGGAGAGCATCCCTTCTCCTTGCCAGGCTCTGAGAGAAGAAAGAGAACGTTCGTAGGGCCGGTGAGTGAGCCGTTCGGAGCTGTCAGAGGCAGACGTTACCAGAAGGCATGTTCCCCGGTCTTGTCACTCTTGGCTCATGACTGTGCTCACACTCCTCCTCGGCTCTTCCCAGACGAGGCCCTTCCGTGGCACCGTTTCCCACGTCCAGGCCGTACACAACAAGAGAGGCTCTCGCTGTCAGATTCCATAAACAGGAGCTTGTCATCCTTCTCTCCTAAACCTGCTTCTGTCTCTTACTCCTCAGCCGGTTGACAGAAAGGACAGCCGGTGATCCCATACGACGTTTCCTGTCCTCGGGGCACTGAGAGATGGGCTTCCTATAGTCATGCAGAAATATTCTAAACTCGAAGGCACATACAAATTCTGGATACACAGGGCAAACTACAAAAGCGGAAGAAACAGTTTAGGCTTTTATAACGTCTAGTATAAAAAATGTAACTCATATAAATTTTATAAATTTGGGGAATGGACTCTCCCAAGACTTAGAGCATGGCATTCTTCCTAGCAACTCTACCACATGTCTAGGTGTTCACAAGGGAAGGAAGCAGTCCAAAGCCTTCCCCCCACCCCCTGCCCCAGGCCACCACCACCCTAGCTGGCTTGGCATGACTCTCCAAGGGTCCCCTGATATATAGTCCACCCCTCGCCCCTGCTCATTCATTGGGAACAGATGGGCACAAATGGCCATTACCCGAAAGAGAATGAGAGGATGACTCTGGGGCTCATCTATATCAGCTGGGCAAATAAGGACACCTGGTCCCACACCCACGCAGGGGGAAGTTTCCCTGAACATTTAAGAGATCACTATCTCTAAATATTGAACTGGTTGCTATTTAGTGAAGTCTATTTCCCTCGTGGTTCATTTCATTGAACATTTCCCTTGTTGTTCTATCCCTCTGCCCTTCCACCTCCTGTCAGCTTCTTACGTAAGGAGAGACTGAGACATTTTCTTTTCAGTTGGGTCAAGTTAAGATGTTCTACAAACCAAGATAGGTCGTAATTCACGTCATCCTGTTGGCTTCAAAGATGACATCTCTAACTTTGACAGATTTTATACCAAAGGCTATAACCCCCCTCTGAGGTGCACCATTTTCCACGTGTCATCCACAGGGGACATGGGCGCTACTAATTAGGATCTCCATGGCCTTGCTGGCCCAGAGCTGCCACTGAGTCACAGTTGAGAAGCTGGTTCATTACATAGGCAAAAACAAGTCCTTCGTTGTTCCCTCCTCTCCTCTGTCAGAGAAGTGGTCTCATGGGAACCCCACTGAGATTTAGAGCAAAGCCTGTTTTTTTTTTTTTTAAGATTTTGCATTTATTTATTTTTGAGAGACTGAGGGGAGGGGCAGAGGCAGAGGGAGATGAAAGGAGTAGCAGACACCCCTCTGAGCATAGAGACTGACCATCCCAGGACCCTGAGACCATGACCTGAGCCAAAATCAAAAGTCGGAGTCAGATTTGAGCCACCCAGGAGCCCCAAGGCTGATATTTTTATAGAAGTTTCCACAAGGAGGACCTTATGCCTCCTGGGAGCAGCCAATAAAATGAATCTACCACAGAC